TATTCCGCTCGTTCTCAGAAGCTGACACACACACACACACACACACACTAATGTCATGAAACACTAAACTATTAAAGATTAGTGTATGCATTGACCTGCAACATCATAACCACCCAGAATACTGGATACTGATTTTAAAAAAAAAATTTAAAAAAAAATAAAAAAAAGGTAAAATAGTGCTGAACTCTACTACAAAGAGTTAATGTTACAAATAAGTGCTACCATTTAATACAAATCCAAACAGTCATGTTTAACATCAACTCAAAAGCCATAGCATTGAAGTTGCATACGTATGTATACACTCACTTTATTTGCTCCTATTTTAGAACAATTGACGATTATCTACTCAAAATAACAAAATATGTATTACAGTGATGATTAAAAATAACTGAAATCAGCTGCAAACTGTGTTTCTGTCGGCTGAATTAACATATCAGTGTTTTCTCACGTCACTATAGCTTTAAATATGTAACTTCCACAAATGCTCCTATTTTAGAACAATTGACGATTATCTACTCAAAATAACAAAATATGTATTACAGTGCTGATTAAAAAGAACTGAAATCAGCTGCAAACTGTGTTTCTGTCGGCTGAATGAACATATCAATGTTTTCTCACGTCACTATAGCTTTAAATATGTAACTTCCACAAATTAACTACTTAAAGGAGTAGTTCACTTCCAGAATGAAAAATGTCCTGATCATTTACTCTCCCCCGTGTCCAGGGCCGCATTAAGACCTCACTGGGCCCCGGGGCTATGACTTACTGCAGGGCCCCCCCATCACAATAATGATATATATAGCTTAAAATAGGATTTTTATCCAATCAAAATTTTTGATGCATTGCAATTTCATAATTCTTGTTACCAATTCCAATATCACAAAAAAAATAAAAAATACTAGCCTACGTAAAAACAAACTTACTGAAGACAAGTATAGCGAATCAGCTCATAAGGGAAATATGAATAATTAATCAGAACTAGTTATAATTAATTATAAATATTTAGATCCGCTGTAGATATTTACTTGACCTCTCAGGGTCAA